ATTCAATTCTGGAAAACCTATAATTGTTTAGATCTCTTGGGACGATCCCTGCTCACTTCATACTCCATAGTATAAGTGTTTAGTGGTTTTATAAATTTTAAAATATGGTGCCCACTTGACATTATTTCTAAACCTAAAGTGTTGTGCATTATTTTGTGCACACGCTCGGTCGCACCAAGTATTCCATCTTTGTCTACTTGCATAGATATTATGCTTCGCTCTTGATTTCAAGTATACTTCATGTCGTGTATTCTATCATTTTTTACTAGTATAGATATTATGCCTTGTTCCTGATTCCGAGTATGCTTCTTGTCATGTAGTATGGATTATCCTAAACCTTGTTTAATTGTATTGAAAGTGCAATTCATGTTGATCTGTTTTCAAGCATCCATTTTATCGTGTTTTTTGGATTATCCCAAATCTTGACTTGTTTCATATATGTATATATATATATCATAATTCTTGTTGTTAGTACTCCATGGTAGCTTAGGATACTCCCTAAGTCTAAACCTTGACATAGACATTAGATGGCATGATCCCTTTGAACTATTGCATGTTAGTCTAAAAATCTGAAAGAAATCGAGTCGATGCATGCTCATTCTCTACGAGTAAACTTGTTACTCAGCTCGAAGTTACTGGGGGGCTGTTTCAGGTACAGGATTCAAGACTTGAAGATTTTATTACCTTGGATCATTTGGTAGCTTTATGTATCAAAATATGTATCTTTGATTCGTGTATGTAAAGTGTACATAAGTACACTCTTTTCAATGTATTTAACATGTATGACATGAGGCCAAGGGCCACAAACATTTAAGTTCAAGTCTATGTATGTAAACTTAAAGTTTTCCTTTTTAAAATGTAATTTTTTCCAACTTTGGAGGTTTGGCATGTTAAATCTTATAAATGGAATGTAATGAGGCCGTAGGCCATTCTAGTATGTTCAAATTATCATATTACACTTGCGTGTATGTTCACATCATCACACATTAGCATAGAATGCATGTTGATCATGCCATGGGGAAATCCAAATAAGACTTAGAGTCTTTTCATCATTTCAAGTGCATAACAGGTTCAGGTGCACAATTTCGAGCCATTTCGGTCGACCGAAATGCCAGTTCGGTCGACCGAACCTCTTTTGGTTTCAATTGTTTCAGCAAAGTCCAATTCCAGTAGCCATTTTTAGCTTTCATGGTTATTTTGGTCGACCAAAGTGAAGGTTCTTTTCCTTCTTCTTTTTGGTCCATTTCGGCAGACCGAAGCTCCATTTCGATCGATTGAAATGGAACTGTCTAGTGGGTCTTGTTTGTTTTGTTGCCTAGATAGGTCAACCTTGTTTCCTTCATTCCCACTTGACCTTGTTGATCTTGTTCAAGCCATTTAATGGTGTATGTGGTCTAGTTTGGACTACATCTCGTTTCCTCAGTTGTCATTGGTGTCATAGGGTATCATTTAACCCTTGTATCTTAGTCTCCGTTCCCGGTTATTTCCTTGAGTTCCATGTTTTCATGGAAAGTCACATTGGCGTCTAAGAGGTGGTTTGTATCTCTTAAGACCTTGGTTTATCTTTCACTTTCGCATCTTGTTTCTTTGAATTACGTGACCTCATGGAGGGTCATCTTACGGTCTTAGAGGTGTTTGAGCCTTGAGAGACCATTGTCTTGTTTCTTGTTTCCGCATCTGGATCCGTTATCGGGTCAATCTTCGGTTCATCATTGACCCACCGGGTTGATAAAAATCCGGGTCACGACAAGTAACATACCAGTGCGCCATGCAAAGGATCTTCGACAACATACTCCACAAAATTGTTGAATGTTATGTTGATGACTTGGTGGTTAAGACGAAAGAATGAATGAATCATTTATATGATCTACGTATAGTTTTTAATCGACTCCGAAAATATCAGCTCAAGACGAATCCCTTTAAATGTGCATTTGGTGTGACTTCAGGGAAATTCCTGGGATACGTTGTACGTCATCGTCGTATCGAGATTGATCCTAATAAAGTTGAGGCCATTCAAAAGATGCCGCCACTAAAGAATTTACACGAGCTTCGAAATTTACAAGGACAACTTGCGTTCATTCATAGGTTCATCTCAAATTTGGCTGGTCATTGTCAACCTTTTAACCGACTCATGAAGAAAGACTCCCCATTCATTTGGGAGAAATCTTGCCAAAATGCTTTTGATAGCATCAAAAAGTACCTTCTCAATTCTCCGGTATTAGGAGCACCTGTACCTAGAAAACCACTCATACTTTACATTGCTGCACAAGAAGAATCACTGGGTGCCTTACTTGCTCAGAATAATGAAGAATATAAAGAGAAAGCCTTGTATTACTTAAGTCGCAGGCTCACCCCAACAGAGCAGAATTATCCTCCAATTGAAAAAACATGCCTCGCGCTTATCTTCGCCTCTAAGAAATTGAGGCATTATTTCTTGGCTCATACGATATATCTTATTGCAAGAGCTGATCCTCTCAAATATGTCATGTCTAAACCAGTCCTTTCCGGATGCTTGGCGAGGTGGTCAATTTTATTCAATAAGTTTAAAATTGTTTATGTGCCACGAAAAGCAGTGAAAGGACAAGTCCTGGCACATTTTTTAGCTGACCATCCTATTCCAGTTGATTGGAAAAATTTTGAAGATTTTCCTGATGAAGAAGTCTTCCTTGTGGACATCCTCCCTCTATGGATGATGTTTTTCGATGGGGCAGCACGATCAGACGAGGCTGGAGCAGGTGTAGTGTTTGTCTCTCCAAAAAGAAGTGTTATTTCATACTTTTTTGCACTCACTGAAAACTGCTCAAATAATGTAGCTGAATATCAAGCCCTGATCATCGGCCTTCAAATGGCGATTGAGATGAAAATCATCGATCTCGAAATATATGAAGACTCTAAGTTGGTGATCAACTAACTTCTTATAGAATATGAGGTTAAGAAAGATGATCTAGTGCCGTACCATCGTTATGCCTCTCATTTGTTGGAACGGTTTGATAGTGTCATGTTAGAACACATTCTGAGGAAAGAAAATCGGATAGCTGATGCTTTGGCAAATTTAGCTATAACATTGGCGTTAACTGATGAGGACCTGGTTAATGTTCCTGTATGTCAACGATGGGTCTTGCCACAAGTCCTGGAAGGTAAATTTAAAGGAAGTAATTTGGTTTCTTGCTGGACACAAGAGGAAGAAAACTGGAGGCTCCCTATCACTGATTATCTGAAACATGGAAAGCTTCCCGAAGACCTATGCCATGAGACTAAAATACAAAGACAAGCACCTCATTTCATCTATTACAACGATACGTTATATAGGCGTTCATATGAGGGCCTTTTCCTTCGCTGCCTTGGAAATAATGAAGCAACCCATGTAATGAAGGAGGCACATTCTAGGATTTGTGGAGCCCATCAATCTGGTCCAAAGCTTCATTTTTGCGTCAAAAGAATGGGTTATTATTGGCCCACCATGGTTAAGGACTGCGTGGAGTATGCGAAGAGGTGTCAAGCCTGTTAATTCTATGCTAACTTAATACACCAACCACCGGAACCGTTGCACCCTACTGTGACGTCATAGCCATTCGATACATGGGGATTAGATGTAGTTGGTCCTCTAGAAAAGTCTTCAAAGGGCCACTTGTATATCTTGGCTGCCACTGATTATTTTTCTAAATGGGCGGAAGCTGCACCCTATAAACATGTGAAAAAGGAAACAGTGGTTGATTTCATCAAGTCTAACCTTATTTATAGATATGGTGTCCCTCAATATATTATCACTGATAATGGGATGAATTTCAAAAACAGTTGGGTGGCCGACCTTTGCGAGAAGTTTAGCTTCAAACAACGTAAATCCTCCTTGTACAATGCCCCTGCAAATGGTCTTGTGGAAGCATTCAATAAAACTCTTTGTTAGTTATTGAAGAAAGTAGTCAACCAGACAAAGAGAGATTGGCATGAGCGAATGGAAGAGGCATTGTGGGCATACAGCAGTACGCATCGTACACCTACTCAAACAACTCCGTATTCTCTTGTTTATGGTGTAGAAACGGTTCTTCCATTAGAACAACAGATCCCTTCGATAAGGATTCCCATACAAGAAGGCCTTACAAGTGAAGAAAATGCCATCTTACGTCTTCAAGAACTGGAAGCATTGGATGGGAAGAGATTAGAAGCTCAACAACAGATAGAGTGTTATCAAACTCGACTTTCTAAAGCGTTCAATAAGAAAGTTCAACCTTGGTCATTCAAGTTCGAGATTTGGTATTAGCTATTCATAGACCAATTATCATAAATCGCAAGGGAAATAAATTTATATCCAAATGGGATGGACCATATGTTGTTCGCGAAGTTTATACAAACGGCACATATCTCATTATTGATGAAGATGGAGTAAGAGTGGGGCCCATTATTGGCAAGTTCCTGAAGCACTACTACCCATGAAGGCTATACTCTTGATCGTACGAGCTTAAATTGCCCTATGCTCCTAGCCCGCATGATCTAAAACTGTGTACGGCCCAAAAAAAAAAAAAATCATGTCTCTATTGAACTACGTGATGACTTGATCCCTTTTTTGAGGGTACGTAGGCAGCTTAGGAATTTATTCTAAGTTCAGTACGATGAAAAAGAAAAAAATCACTCTTGGCCCGCAAGAGTATAAACTGTGAATGGCAAAATAAATAAGTCAAATTCATTGCTTTGTTATAATAAAAATGATATTTTATTACAAAGTATGTGGAAAAAGCTTCTCAATAAGGCAACAAAGGGAGATCCTCAATTTCATTTTGAGCATTTTGTAACTGCTTCTCCAGGAACTTCAAGGCTTTTATATCCTCATCAGTGACAACAGAGGTTTCTTCAATTAAATTTTGTTCCTCCTTGAATTTTGCAATGTTAGCTCTTCTTTGGAGAATTCGGTTATTAGTTTCTTCAATGGTGGCTTTATGTCTTTCCATACAAGCATGCAAAAGTTTGACTTCTCTCTCACAATTACGTAAAACTTCTTGAGCTGATTAAACTTGTTTTACATCTGTACAATCTAAAGCAAGAGCTTCTTTAAGGTGAGAACTAGCATCGGCTAAACATCGAGAGCGTACTTCTTTAGATAAGGCATGATTATGCTTGAATCGAACTTCGTTATATTCTTCACCATTTTGAATGTATGCATCAATTCTATTATGGAACTCGGGAAAATCCACACATTGTCTAGAAATTTCAAGAAAGACCTCATCAAACTTTGGTTTAAGAGATGGAATCTTCGAAAGTGGGGTACACTTCACTTTACTTTTAATGATATTCCCAAATATTTTGGCCGCTGTATGCTTAATCTCAGAAATAGCACTCCTCGGGTCAAAGGTAGTTATAGAAGGTGTGATTTGGTGAGATGTTTGGGCATCCCCAAGGTGATGTCTCTTAGTCGATAATGCTGTAACAGTTACAGGAATCTCTTCAACATTCATAATCATTTGTTGGCTTCGGACATCCTTCTTAGTTAAAGAAGCTTGGGGTTGTAACTGCCTTTCAAGGGACTCCACCTCTTGTAAGAGAGGGTTGTTCTCATCTTGAGTAATTGCATAGTTTCTTTTAGCTGCTAAATCAAATGCATATAGTCCATACGTAGATTCCCCACTGCATACAGGATTAGGAACCATAACAACATCTTCTCCAAGAAAGCCTTCATTGCCTTTTGTCTAAAAAAAAATAATAATAATAAAAAAATAATCTTTACTTGGATGGGTTTTAAACTGCTATTAACTCCCTCAAACAAGTGGTCTAAATCATGAGGAATAACAACCCGATCATATGAGAAGTTATTTACACCTATATGTTTCCAGTTACGGTCTTCATTGTCAGTTTCTTTATCTGGTTGGAATAACAGTTAAGAATGTTGTCGAGATTCTACCGGTGATAGAAATTGCTCCGTTGGCGGGACTGCATTGTGAGTTTCAATGGCTTCTTGTTTGCAATGAGAGTTCGACGTGGGTCCACTAATAATGACTTTTCTGACTTTGGTTGGCGGTTCCTTTGGAGAAATCGTACGCTTGGTCGATAATGAAACCAGTCTTTTAAATGGATCAACATATACGCTGGACCACCATTTAGCATATGCTTTGGTAATTGAGGACTTCTGGTGACTAGATGTTGAGGGAAGTAACGCGTCGCAACCAGAAGAGTAATGAACGGAGGAATTCCAACACCTTAAGAATTCTTCTAAGGTACAGTTACGAATATCATTTTTCAATTTTCCAGGAACATCTTAGTGGTATCCAAATTGTCGACTAAATCTGTGTGGACTATATGGCTCAATGATGAGACAGTTATCTTGGCGTAATGTCAAATAACATGATCAAAGACTGATTAGGTAGTCAGACTCAGCCTTTATCATCTGGCCATGATCCACGATGAGTCGCTATTTTGAAGGTCTTTTAGACAAATGAGTTAAAATTACTCCTTCACATGATCTGAATAAATTTTGTGCTTCAAAGACGTAAAAAGGTCATGCTCCTCCTTTTCCTGCATATAATGTCATTCGAGGCCATTATTTGGTATGGGGAACAGTGAAATTAGTTTTGAAATAGTCACTCAACCATCCGAATACATAGTGTATAGGAAATATCGCAGAGCAACTTCCAGGATTTGGTGAGGAAACAATCTCATTCAAACCTCTGTAAATATTGGCCAAAACTGGGATGGAAAGACAAATGTTACAGCCATCTGCTAACATGCTGGCAACCTTGAAGGTTCCAGGACGAATCACATTGCCAGGGTGTGTAGGCAAGGCGAATTTATAGAGCCAACATGCTAAAAAAAATGGCTAGATAAGTGGTGTCTCTCGATACTTCATCTACACCAAGGTTAATAAATACTTCCTTCTCTTTGGTGGACATTGGCCGGACATGAGGGATTACACCAGAAGGGTTCTGAGTCTCCTTTGGACGATAAACTTTATTTATTTTTTGTTCTCTTTGAGGGATTCGCATGCCTTGATGCCCCTTGGAACCAGAAATTAATCCAGTCAGATATCTTCTGTGACAACCTTGATTTTTAGGCCAGTGCGTCAGTGATAAACCGAAAGTTGACCCGATATCGAGTCCGAAATGCAGAAGCAAAAGATAAACCATAGTCTTTAGAGATATAAACCACCTCTAAGTCACCAATGTGATCTTCCATGAAGTCACGGAGCTCAAAGAGAATGAAAATGGAAACGAAAGGTCAAAACGGGCAAAAACCGTGAACCAAGGGCAAAATAGTCAACTCACAATTAAAATGAGAAACTTGACTCCCAAAAAGTCAAAAAAGGTGAATACAACCTAATTTGATCATTTCAGAATAATCCAAAAGGTTCCAAGAACATTGGACAAGAATCCCACAAAACGCCTTTTCCCGGTTTAAGCAAAATCTGACACCCTCTCACTAAAACATGAATAACTCTCACTATGATTTGAATCTGAGAATGTAATAGGTACCATTGGAAAGCTAACTCAAAATTCATGAATTTAGGCTCAAGAATCACCCCATTTGGATTTAAAACGAAGGAGTTATGGTTATTTGAAGTCAGAACATCAGTGCTGAAACTGAACAGAGGCTAGTCTCGGGATCTAGCTATTTCGGTCGACCGAAATGACCCATTGGATGACCAAAATGGACAAAAATCAAGCTGAAAACATGAAGGAAGGTGTTGGTTGCTTCGGTCAACCGAAATGAGCCATCGGTCGACCGAAATGACTCTAAACAGTGGAAAAGCCTACTGGAAATGGTGTTTTTGAAGCTCGAACCAAAACCAAAGGACTTCGGTCGACTGAAATGAAGTTTCAGACGACTGAAACAACTCGAAAAGCTCAGAATGAACCTATTATGAACAAGATATGATGAAGCTTCACCCAAGCTTCGACCCCAACATGGATAATGGACCAAAGACATGATTTTAAGCCATATAAACATGCTAGCAAGTGTACTTTGCATAATGAAATGTATTACAATGGACCATGGCCTCATTACATGTCATTTACTCAATTTCACATGCCAAACCTCAAAGTTGACAAAGTTTACGTTTCAAGAACAAAACTTACAATTTAAACACATAAACTTGATTCTTTAAGTTTGTGGCCTTTGGCCTCATGTTATACACATCAAATACATTACAAGGAGTGTACTTACGTACACTTTACATGATTAGAATCAAATATACATGTTTTTCACATATAAAGCAAAAATGGCATTTTAAGCCAATCTTCACCAAAATGAAAACCTTCAACTCCATATCTTGTAACCTGTACCTCAAATATGGCCCAGTAACGTAGGGGTGAACAACATAAAGCTACTCGTAGGAAATGAGCATACATCGACCTACGTTTTACAATTTCATCACCTTAAGGTGAAACATGTTAAAGGGGCTCATGCCACCTAACGTCTATGTCAAGATGAGACTCTGGGAGCATCCTAAACTACCCTAGATCAATTCTAGCATAAATCACATCATTCATGCAATTCCAACAACATAGGAACATGCTTACACAAAGCAACAAAATGTAGATTCTCAAGATTATCAACTTGAAATCTAAAATGCTAGAATAACCAAAGTGGGTCATGCCACCTAACGTCTATGTTCTAAATGAATCTATAGGATCATTCCTAAGTCATATTTAAATAATAAATCACAAATCACAACATCTATGCAATTTAACCAACATAGAAGCATGCTATACAAAACAACTAGATATAGATTCCCAAAGTCATCAACTTGAAATCTACAAGTACAACAACAACTAAATATAACAATTTAATACAATTAGAATTCTGATACCACACATCAAGACATAGATTCTCAAAGTTATCAACTTGAAACCTAAAAGTGTGAAAACAACTATGTTAGTCACTAATTGACTCTAGAGGGGGGGTGAATAGAGTCAATGATCAATTTTTCAATTTAAAAATTGTATTTCTACCAAACTGTTAAATATCAGTTTATTGAAATATTCAAGTAAAATAAAGCACAAAAATAAGAGAGATAGAGATAAGGATTGCAAACAATGACTCGGTGATTTAGCGAGGTTCGGAAACTCCTACTCCTCGGCTCAAGATCCCCCTTGAGACTTCCCAAATTCACTAGAGCTTCTCCCTAATGGTGGAGAGCAAACCTTCACTTTTGAAATAAGATCTTGCTTCTCTTCTTTGCTAGGAGAACACCCTTCTCCTAGGCTTTCTTTTGGGTTACACCAACCCTTTACAATAGCTTTGAAATTTGAAGAAACAAGTGTACAAGAATCTCTCAAAGATAGATTACAGAGTTTAGCTCACAACTATAGAAAAGATGAATATACGTGAAGCTCAGAATTACTACAGTGATATGAAATAACAGAGAGGGAATGAAAGCTCAGAATACTTCTTTAATGCTTTTCAAGGAATGATAGAATGTTCTCTGTTAAAGTATTTTTCAGTTTGAAGACCAACCTCAGTATTTATAGAATCAACAGAGTTCAATATAGCTGTTAGAGTTTGTTGAGAACATTTAATGAAAATGTTTACGTTACAGTTCAAAACCCTAAAGAGAGCCGTCTCTTGAAAACCAAAGAGCCTGCTCTTTGTTCATTTTCCTTGGAAAGAGCCTGCTCAATAAAAACGTAAGCCTGCTCTTATTTTTGAAGATCCATTTTCGTAGCTTTCTTGGAACAAAAAGAGCCCTCTCTTTCTTTTGATTGAGTCCTCTCTTTTTCTTAAATACTTCTCAAAGACTTACTGGAGTTAAAGAAAAGAACCTTCCCAGAGCTCACTGAATAAGAGAAAAGAGCCTTCTCTTTATTTTATGGAGCCTTCTCCATCTCACATTATGATACTTAATATGAAATTCTTTAAGTCCTGTGAATGTGATCATGAGCTGATTTTATTTTCTTTGAGAAATAAAATAGGAATGCAATGCATGGATTGAATTTTGAGCTTCAAATATATTCAAATTAACTTTGACATTAAATCTTAAGCTCTCACCATCTAATCTACCCTTTTCTTCAATCTTTGACCATGATCAGTTAGCCTTTGATGGAGTACTTGAATAATCTTTGAATTCTTGTAACTTCAATGCTTCCTTAAATCCATTGCTTGAGTACTTGGAATGCTTCTGGCTCATTATTGAGGATTGAATTAATTGATCAACTATATAGCACTCAAGGAAAATATTAGTACATAAACATCATTAATGGTTTGTAATCATCAAAATATAAGATTGACCTTTAGATTAAATCCTTAGGCCAACAATCTCCCCCTTTTTGATGATGACAAAACATTGATGTGTTTATTGTCAAGGTGGAGTTGCATTTTGAAATAATGCTCCCCCTATCAATGTTATCAATGTGCGTCTATCAAAATAGCAATTCAATAGAATGGAGACCATATAGCATAGAACACATCTTTCTCCCCCTTTGTCATCTCAAAAAGTCTACTTCTATGAAGGAGAAAATACATGCCATTTCATGAACTATTAGAGAATGAGAATTTAAAGGACAATTAAATAGGAAATATGTCATTTTATAGATTGCAAAAGATAAAACAGTACAAAAGGAAAATATGAACATAACTAGCAGATGTTAGACAAAAGCATAGATCATGATAAAGTCTTCAAAAGAAAATGACATAAGCAAAAACATAGCTAAAAAAGGCTTCTCTAAAGCAGATAAAACAAGGGAGTGCACAAAAAGAGTTTTTAGACGAGGTGATTTTGTTCTAAGTAGAAGGAGGAGGGGGTTCATGGCCTTTTCGAAAGGCTTCAAAGTCTTCACTTATATGAGTGACAGTCATAAGCACTTCGTCAAGTTGTTGTTGTTGGTGTTCAAGAGTGGTTTGTTGTTCTTGAAGAGTGGCTTGATTTTGACGAGTAGCTTCTAGAATTTGCAATAAAAGATCATGATTGGTGCAATTTTCAGCTGGAACAATGTCATCTTCAGCACTGTTATCACTGTCATGGTCTTGTTCATCCTCATCATCAATTTCTTCAATTTCTTCTCCTCTATCTCGAGCCTCTTAAACCTTCGTTGCTTAAGATAGAACCACATACCATTTGAATCCCTTTTTAGTCCCATTGACGCAAGATTTAAAGCAGTGAGTATGTGTCTTGACCCTGGTTTAACTGCTTCAGAACTATTGAGCGGAACTTTCATATCCATGAATATGTGAGTGAGAACCACGGCATAATAAAGAGAGACCTTTTTCTTTCTCTTGCAAGCAAGCAAATGATGAAAAATTATGTATGCAAGATCAAAGGGCTTTCCATTTAAGACACGCCAGATAAGGAAGACGTCCATGTGAGTGACTTTGGGTCTACTGCCGGATTTTGGAAGAATGGAGTACATGATGATCTTGTGAATCAATTGGGCTTCCATAGTTAATTGCCTGGTGTTTACCACTTTTGTATTGGTTACACGGGAATCATAACTCATTTGCTGAATAGCCGTGAGTTTGTCAAAGCCTTGTCCAATAAACAATTTGGAAGGATAATAGAATTGGATGCCACCCTCAAGTTTGAAAATTCGAGCAATGTTACTTCTATCAAGGTAAAAGTGAACTCCAGCAACATAACAATTAAGTTTGTCTTCTCCAGGACTTTCTTCAAGGTGAGTGTAAAATAACTTTACTAATTTTGGATAGTATTTGGTACTCAACCCAACAAAGTTTCCTAGGCCAATTACGTCAAACAATCTATAGGTGTTGAGATTAAGATCATCGCCAATTTTTTTGGACAATACCATTGCTGTGGCCAATTTTCTATGTTGATAGATAGTGTCAAATGCTACTTTGTAGGTGGGGTTTCTATAAAGCATGGTAGCAGAGATTTGAGTTTGTGTACTAGGACTTGAACCAACATCTTGAGATCTTTGAGAGTTCCGTTTTTGACCACGAGGAGGATTCTTTCTACGAGAGGATGAAGCCGTGGACATTTCTAGAAATTGAAACTGAAATTTCAGAAGGAACACTTAGAACACATATCTAAAGAAAAATTCACTTAAATTTGTTTGGAGTGAAGATTAATAAAAAAAATTCAATTATCATATAATGGAAATTTCAAAGCTCAAATTGGTTTTGACTGAGAATTAATGATAATAATTGAAAATGATTTTGAACCAATGTAATAATTTAAGTTTTATACTAATTTGAGTAAAGAGGAAAAATGCTTAAAACCCCAAAAAAAAAATTCAGATAGATGATCTAGGTAATAAAGTTTACAAATTCATCAAAATAAAATGAAATTCAACAATGTATTGCCTAGATGAATTATAAACAACATATTGTGAGAATTTATTCGAAGATAAATTGAAAATAAAGGGGTTTGAAAACAACATATATTTCTAAGATTTAATTGACATGAAATAAATTCATAGATTAGTCATATGACAAATGCATAGCTACTAGAAAATTGAATTAACAAACCAAGAGAGTAGCAATTTCTACTCAAATATGTTCTTTCCACGTGAGGAGAAAGTCTACAGTGTAGTTAAGGGTTTCATGGATGAGAGATTAAAAAGCAATGAACTCTAAAATTTGTTGTAAATAGATCAACTAACATGCAAGAACCCATAACTTTTAGATTGAATTTGAGGAGAGGAGTTACCTGTGTAGATGCCCAATGAAGGAAGTATACCAGCCCTAGCTGAGAGAGTGCTCTGTAATGTGCTTCTGTTATGTCTAGAATGTATTTTGTATACTGAATGGTGAAAGGGACTAGATGGATATAAGAACTAAAGGCTTACTGTGCACTTAAAATGAATAACCGAGAATGTGTGTGTGGGATTCATTGATTGAGCCGGCTCACTAGTTCATAGAGCCGGTTCACTAGTTCATAGAGCCGGCTCAATGAAGTTCCTTGGAGCCGGCTCTTCTATTTCATGGAGCCGGCTCTTTCATTCTTTTACCCTGCATCCAAGTGTATATGTGAGATGCCGAGAGTAAGGAGATTTAATCCATCAATTGAGCAGGCTCTTTCTTCTGAAGAGAGACGTCTCCATTCACTTGTATTGAGCCGGCTCAAGCAAAATTGGAGCCGGCTCTTTGCAACCTGCATGAGATGCCGAGAGTTGAGTTTGTATATTTGTTTGTGTGAGCCGGCTCTTCTAGAATTTGAGACTGCTCTTACTGAATTCTGCATGAGATCCCGAGAGCAACTAAAGTGTATGCAGATTTGGTTCAGGTTAGGAGCCGTCTCTTGTTTTTATAGAGCCTGCTCTCTTAGTTTGTAGAGACTACTCTTTCTTAAAAACATAGAGATCCCGAGAGTATGCACTTTGAAATCATTTGTGAAGCCTGCTTTGCTTTGTGTGGAGGTAGCTCTTTTTCTGAATGGAGCTGGCTCTTTAGCTGCTAGAGTTACTTTAATATTTCTTCTTCTGCAGACATACCTATTTCTCTTCTGAGCAAGCAAAATCTGTCCTCTTGGAGTGGTTTTGTGAAAATATCTGCTAGTTGTTTTTCAGTATTAATAAATACAAGCTCAATGTCTCCTTTTGAGACATGATCCCTAAGAAAATGGTATCTAATTTCTATATGCTTTGTCCTTGAATGCTGAATAGGATTTTTTGAGATACATATTGCACTTGTATTATCACACATAATAGGAACATGATCAAAGTAAAGTCCAAAATCCTCAAGCTGTTGCTTAATGTAAAGCGTTTGAGCGCAACAACTACCGGCTGCAATATATTCAGCTTCCGCCGTTGATAGAGCTACGGAATTTTGTTTCTTGCAAGACCAAGATACTAATGATTGTCCTAAGAAATGACAAGTTCCGCTAGTACTTTTTCTATTAACTTTGCGTCCTCCAAAATCAGCGTCCGAGTAACCGACAAGCTCAAATGATGTATGCCTAGGATACCAAAGCCCTAAGAATGTAGTAAAACTTAAATAGCGAAAGATGCGTTTAACGGAACATAGATGAGATTCTTTAGGGCAAGATTGAAAACGAGCGCATAAGCATACACTAAACATGATGTCCGGTCTACTTACGGTTAAGTATAAAAGACTACCAATCATACCCCTATATTTTTTAATATCTACATTAGTGCCCTTTTCATCTTTGTCAAGTTTCAAAGATGAGCTCATTGGAGTATTGGCATGTTTGACTTCCTCCAAGCCAAATTTCTTTAGCAAATTTTCAACATACTTGGATTGGCAAACAAAAATGCCATCAAGTGTTTGTTTGATTTGCAACCCTAAGAAGAAAGTAAGTTCACCCATCATGCTCATTTCGAATTCATTTTGCATGCTAGAAGCAAATTTTTCATATAGCACACTATTGGTTGATCCAAAGATAATATCATCAACGTAAATTTGAATAACCAACAGGTTGCTATCAATGGTTTTAGTAAAAAGAGTATTGTCAATTTTTCCTCTAACAAAACCATTAGCAAGTAAGAAACCACTTAGTCTTTCATACCAAGCTCTTGGAGCTTGTTTCAAACCATACAAAGCTTTTGATAATTTGAAAACATGGTTTGGATAAATGTAGCTTTCAAAGCCCGGCGGTTGTTCTACATATACTTCTTCTTCAATGAATCCATTTAAGAAAGCACTTTTTACATCCATTTGATATAACTTAAAGTTCTTATGGGATGCAAAAGCAAGGAGCATTCTTATAGCTTCAAGTCTAGCTACGGGGGCAAAGGTCTCCTCATAATCAATTCCTTCTTCTTGATTATAGCCTTGAGCAACAAGCCTTGCCTTGTTTCTCATAATTATTCCCGATTCATCCTTTTTGTTCCTAAATACCCATTTTGTGCCAATGATAGTTTTATCTTTAGGCTTTGGAACCAAATGCCAAACTTTATTCCTTTCGAATTGGTTAAGTTCTTCTTGCATGGCCAAGAGCCAAGATTCATCATTTTCGGCTTCATGAATATTTTTTTGTTCAAGTTGGAAAACAAAAGCCACATAATTGCAAATGTTACTCGTTTGAGACCTAATGCTTATTCCTTTAGATGGATCGCCAATGATTTGATTTATCGGATGATTAGGCACTTACTTCCAAGCCTTAGGAAGAGTGTCTTTATGAGAGAGACTTTCTTTTGGAACATCTTTGGAGCTATCTTCAAGAGAAGGACCATTTAAATCAAGATTTTCAATATTCTTTTCAATCTCAATCACATCTTCATTATCATGTAATGAACATCTAAGAGGGGGTAATGGTGATTCATCAAATACAACATGTATGGATTCCACAACCACTCGTGTTCTTTTGTTAAACACTCTAAATGCTTTGCTACGAGAAGAATATCCTAGAAAAATACCTTCATCCGATTTAGGTTCAAATTTTCCTAGATTATCTTTATCATTTAACACGAAGCATTTACACCCAAAGACTTTAAAGTATCCAATGTTTGGCTTTCTTTTGTTCCAAAGATCATAAGGAGTCTTATTAAGGAGTTTTCTAATAATGACTCTATTTATGACATAGCATGAGGTACTAACAGCTTCGGCCCATAGAGATCTAGGAGAATTATGTTCATTTAATATAGTCCTAGCCATTTCTTGGAGAGACCTATTTTTTCTTTCAACAACTCCATTTTGTTGAGGAGTCCTAGGAGCTGAAAGATTATGATTGTATCCATTGTCATCACAAAATCTTTCCACATCTTGGTTGTCGAACTCTCTACCTCTATCACTTCTAATGGACTTAATTTTACATTCTTTTTCATTTTCAACTCTCTTACAAAATTTAGCAAAGATTGTATGAACCTCATTCTTGTGTGTAAGGAAAAATACCCAAGTGAATCTAGAGAAGTCATCCACAATGACAAATGCATAGAGTTTTCCACCAAAACTAGCAATTCTCTCCGGACTGAATAAGTCCATGTGAATTAATTCAAGTGGTCTTGAAGTCGTTATATCCTTTTTCCTTTTAAATGATGACTTGATTTGCTTGCCTATTTGGCATGCGCTACATGTTTTATCTTTAGAAAAATTAGTCTTTGGGAGGCCTTTGACCAATTCATTCTTAGATAGTTTTGAAATCAAATCCATACTAGCATGACCCAACCTTCTATGCCACAACCAACTATTTTCATTTGAGGATACAAGACATTTGACATCTTGATCATGTAATTCACATAAAAGCAAAGTATATACATTACCATTTCTTAGAGCATGGAAAAATTCTACATTATCCTTTTTGACAATGCACTTGTCCGATTTAAACAAAACATTATATCCTTTATCACATAATTGGCTAATACTAAACAGATTATGTTTTAAGCCTTTAACAAGTAACACATTATCAATAGATAAAGAGGAGGAGATACCAATAGTTCCAATGCCAATGACCTTGCTTTTTGAGTTGTCGCCGAATGTGACGCTTCCTCCTTTATAAGGTTTGATGGAGTGAAATTTTGATTGATCTCCCGTCATATGCCTTGAGCATCCGCTATCAAGGAACCATTTATCCTTAGATGAATATGGAGACTTCAAGCAAACCTACAAAAGGAATTTGAATAATCTTCTTTTGGTACCCACATTCTCTTGGGTCTATGAGAGTTAGGAAGAGGTGTATAAGTCCCTTTAATAACCCAAACTTCTTTTGTCCTACATGACCTAATAGGACAATGATTGATCTTATGTCCTATTTTTTTACAATAGTTACATATTGGACTAAAAGAGGAATTTTTAACAAAGTAATTGTTCAAAGGTATTCTCTTTTTCAATAAACAAGAATCTTTGTTGTGAGGATCAAATCCAAGTCCATCCTTGGCATAAGCATTTCTTTACTTTCCAAGTATGAGACCCAAATTCTCTCTACCTTTTGTGAATTTAGCTAAAGTCTCAATTTGATCTTCAATTATAACTTTTATTGATTTATGTTCAGAAATTAAATCAATTGAAACCGATTCTTTAGCTACATCTTTTTCCTTTTTCAAAGCTTCATTTTCAAGTTGAGATTTTTCAAGGTTTTGAGAGATGATATTCTTTTCCCTTTTGAGAGTAGCACATTTTTGAACCATTTTGCCTAATTCATCATGCAATTATCTAAAAGCATCTAGCAAATAGTTGTATGCATCAACCAATTCATCATAAGTAGTTTCCAAATCAAATGAGTTATGATTAGAATTTACCTCATCTTCATCGGCCATGAGACAAAGATTAACCAATTCATTGAGTTCATCGTCACTTTCGAATCCATTTGAATCATCATCCTCCCATGTAGCTTGCATGGCTTTGCCTTTCTTTTTCCTTTCCTTTTCATTTTTATAGGCATAGCAATCAGACTTGAAGTGTCCCGTTTTCCACAATGGAAGCAAGTAGGTGCTTCTCTTTTTCCTTGCTCACTAGACGACCCATTTCTTTTGAAGTGGTTGCTTTTTTGGAACTTCTTCATTTGAAGAATTCTTCTTACGATTTTGGTAATGAGAGAAACTTCTTCTTCTTCTTCATCATGAGGAACTTTATCAATTGTAACTTCTTTGGTAGTAGCTTGTAGAGCTATATCCTTCTTTTGAGTTTCTTCATATCTATCATTCATTTCTAGCTCGTAAGCCATTAATGAACCAATGAGTTCGTCAATGGGAAGTGTGTTAAGATCTTTGGCTTCTTGGATGGCGGTCTTCTTAGCTTCCCAATTCTTTGGCAAAGATCTAAGGATTTTTCTTACATTGTCGGATGATGTATATTTTCTTCCAAGAGCTTTCAAGGGATTAACAATGTTAGTAAAACGAGAGTACATTTCACTAATAGTTTCTTTGTTATTCATGGTAAAAATTTCATATTTATGGACAAGCATATTCATTTTGGATTCTTTAACATGACTAGTGCCTATATAGGTGACTTCAAGTTTATCCCAAATTTCTTTGGCCGTTTTGCAATCCGAAATTCTATTGAATTCTTCTTTACTTAAGGCACAATAGAGATTAGTGATAGCCTTGACATTACATTGTACAAGCCTACGGTCATTGAGGGTCCATTCAATATCGGGTGTTCGAACATTTTCACCTTCTACTATCTTGGTTGGAACATGGTCTCCTTTTTCTATGGCTTTCCAAACATCTACATCTATGCCTCTTAAGAATGCTCTCATTTTGATTTTCCAATAGTTGTAGTCACTTCCATCAAACCAAGGGGGTCTATTGTTAGATTGACCTTCTTGATGGAAATTTGTATTGGCCATGATCGTTCTCTAAGATGATTAGTCTTTTTCTAGAGATTAGGCTCTGATACCAATTGTTAGTCACTAATTGACTCTAGAGGGGGGGTGAATAGAGTCAAGGATCAATTTTTCAATTTAAAATTGTATTTCTACCAAACTGTTAAATATCAGTTTATTGAAATATTCAAGCAAAATAAAGCACAAAAATAAGAGAGATAGAGATAAGAGATTGCAAACAATGACTCGGTGATTTAGCGAGGTTTGGAAACTCCTACTCCTCGGCTCAAGATCCCCCTTGAGACTTCCCAAATTCACTAGAGCTTCTCCTTAATGGTGGAGAGCAAACCTTCACTTTTGAAACAAGATCTTGCTTCTCTTCTTTGCTAGGAGAACACCCTTCTCCTAGGCTTTCTTTTGGGTTACACCAATCCTTTACAATAGCTTTGAAATTTGAAGAAACAAGTGTACAAGAATCTCTCAAAGATAGATTACAGAGTTTAGCTCACAACTATAGAAAAGATGAATATACGTGAAGCTCAGAATTACTACAGTGATATGAAATAACAGAGAGGGAATGAAAGCTCAGAATACTTCTTTAATGCTTTTCAAGGAATGATAGAATGTTCTCTGTTAAAGTATTTTTCAGTTTGAAGACCAACCTCAGTATTTATAGAATCAACAGAGTTCAATATAGCTGTTAGAGGTTGTTGAGAACATTTAATGAAAATGTTTACGTTACAGTTCAAAACCCTAAAGAGAGCCGTCTCTTGAAAACCAAAGAGCCTGCTCTTTGTTCATTTTCCTTGGAAAGAGCCTGCTCAATAAAAACGTGAGCCTGCTCTTATTTTTGAAGATCCATTTTCGTAGCTTTCTTGGAACAAAAAGAGCCCTCTCTTTCTTTTGATTGAGCCCTCTCTTTTTCTTAAATACTTCTCAAAGACTTACTGGAGTTAAAGAAAAGAACCTTCCCAGAGCTCACTGAATAAGAGAAAAGAGCCTTCTCTTTATTTTATGGAGCCTTCTCCATCTCACATGATGATACTTAATATGAAATTCTTTAAGTCCTGTGAATGTGATCATGAGCTGATTTTATTTTCTTTGAGAAATAAAATGGGAATGCAATGCATGGATTGAATTTTGAGTTTCAAATATATTCAAATTAACTTTGACATTAAATCTTAAGCTCTCACCATCTAATCTACCCTTTTCTTCAATCTTTGACCATGATCGGTTAGCCTTTGATGGAGTACTTGAATAATCTTTGAATTCTTGCAACTTCAATGCTTCATTGAATCCATTGCTTGAGTACTTGGAATGCTTCTGGCTCATTATTGAGGATTGAATTAATTGATCAACTATACAGCACTCAAGGAAAATATTAGTACATAAACATCATTAATGGTTTGTAATCATCAAAATATAAGATTGACCTTTAGATTAAATCCTTAGGCCAACAAACTAAATATAACAATTTAGTATGGATGTACTTAACAACATCAAATCGCCAATAGTCAAAAAACCATAAGTCACAATTAAACATGATTGTCAACTTGGAATTGAATGCGAAAACAAATAGTAGAAGACTTAGACATCACGCTCGGAATTCTGCCGAGACCTCAAATGGTTATTCCGGGCACTAACCCGCTGGGAAGACCACCCAAGTGCGCACATCTCAAAGACTTGGAGGACTCTTGTCCCCGTACTAGAGCCAAACTCTAGCCATCAACAAAACAATGTCCCAAGATTCCAAAATAAACAAAATAAGTTCACAACTTATACATAAATTATATAATGCACGAAATCATCTTCTATGCACGAGTAGGTTGAAACCACACAACACATGCTCTAAATCCACAAATACTATAGAATGACAAATGTCGAATCTTCAAGTGCGATTCGTTACACGCTATAACAATATAATCCAATATTGAAAGACAAACTCATAAATTCATTATAAGTCCAAAATCATGCTTTAAACATATTATCAATGTCAATTTCATGATTCAATCAATAACGCAAAAGAAACGAAAATTAATTACATAACCCAATCAATTTCTCCAAGTTTCATATCTCAACCAAATGGTCCCTTATTTATACATGTTATACAACATAGCATGGTATATACATACATTCACTAAAACCTCAATTTGACTAATGGTACAACAAGGTAGAATTTAATTAATCAATTTAATTAAAATCTCTAGATTTTTATACTTGTTCAAATGCTCTCAAATTTAAGTATGTTAAAGAACATGCCAAGACTTAACTTAAAAGCACATTACAACTCAATTTCATGCAAGGTACGATCATGAACCTTAATCTTTCACAAAAGATAAATATTAATTAAAAAGTGCAATTCTTATTTAATTAATCCAAATTTAATATATGTTAAACAACATATTAAAGCAAGATTTTCTAACATGCCACAATTCAAATCCAAGATATACATCATCATAAAAATTAAATCTTACACAAAGAATTAATTATTACCATTTTCTAGATTTGATACAAGGTTGTATAATCATGGAAAACAAATAATACAACATATATAAAATCCTAAAACATCCCCTACCTCCATTTGAGATGAAATCTCAAATTCCCACCAAAATGGAAGTGCTCCAAATCTGACGAAACTTCTAGGTTTTGTCGGGGACAACACCGTGAACATAACCCCCAAGGAAGCCCCATGAAAAACACGACTTGACTTCAAATCTGAACTCAAGAAATGACCAAAATGATATTCCAATCGGTTGGAATCGAAGGCCTCGCCAAGGGGAACAATAAACATAAAGGCCGAAGACTTTTCATTAAGGAAAACTGGACCAAAAGAGGAGAGAGAAGATGGTAGCCATGGCTGCCATAGATTCCGGCCAGAAGAGAGGAGAGAGAGAGAGTGTGAGATCTGATTTTTCAACTAAAGGTACCCTATTTATAGAAATATCTCAAAAAGTGCCCCGAACGGGCCCCGCCGTGTCCGAAAAAGTGAAATTCGAGCAGACGCACTCAAACGGCAAAACTTCGTGAACAAAAAAGATTTAAAATGAAAAAATAATCATAACGAAAGAAACGACGTCGAAAACTGAGTCCCGACCAGAAAGTTATGCCCCAAACAAGTTTGGCGCAAACCGGAGCCAGAAACCCTGAAATTGGAAAACATCGACTAGGAGGAAATTCGAAGAGTACACGACTGGATGAAAAGTGAAAAAGAATCCTATACGAGGATCCAGGATCAAAACAAGACATTGAGCAATAATTTTCATTAATTGCACAATGGCCTCTCCAAAAAGTGAAAACTACGAAACTGCCCCAGAATGAAAATATCTTCCGAAAGATATTTTCTTAGATACCCCTGAAATAAAATATCTTCAAAAGATATTTATGAAAAACACCCCAAGAGAAGAAAGAGATTCCAAAGAACTGTGCTTCCATGCCCCTATGGACACCGAGAGCAACCAGAGTACTTTCTTGCAAAAGTAAAGATACGTATTTCATGGAAACCACCGAGAATGAAGATACGTGAAGTTAGAAACCAACTCCAAACACAAGAAGTGTGGTTATGCCAACAAAGTGACAAACGGGGAAAAGACAAAATAGGGAAAAAGACGAAAAGTGAATAGTGTCAAAAAATGAAAAATGTGGAAACGACTTGGTCCTTAAAGGAACTTTTCAATCCACAGAAAAGAGTCTCAGAAATCATTCCAGAGCACTCGAGACGACACTAATCAACGAGAAACCAAACTCAGAAAGGAAAGACAATGGAAAAAAATTATCCGTGAAAATCCGGGTCATTACATCTTCACATTCTGTTCTCCTTTGTACTTTTTGCGGAGTTTGTGGAAAGCCAAAAATAGATGTTGACAACTCAAGGGGAGAGAATTTTTGTTGTTGCTGGCTCTCGAAAGTTCATCTGCACACGGAATGACTTCATCATAAATTCTTCTATGATGAGGGAGACCGTCTAGCGCATATAAATCTCGAAGGGAAATGGACAGCTCGCCAATAGAATAATGAAGAGTATTAGTGGCTGGGCACCAACATTCGAGGAATACTTTGAATACATCTTCCTGGTGATCATATGAAAATAGGGAGGCGAATAGAGCACCATATAGATGTTGTTTTGATAGGAAGTCATGGAAGCATGCCAAAACATCTTTAAACCATTCCCAATATAGTTCGGTATGTGGCAATTCAGCAGAAATTATACATGGAATACTCCATGATACTTTCTTCGCTTGAATGTTGAGACCCAAGAATGAAAACTGGTTTTCTTCAACTATTCTCTAATGAAGTGGAGAATTTAATATCAAGGCCTCCGAGACAATAGATTCTTTATTAATCTAATCAAGACCAAAGTTGGTGAGGTCGCCTGTAGCCTTGCGTGTCTAATGAGAAGAACATTGTTCATTGTCGGGATCAGGCATTTGAATGCGTGTTGATAAGTGCTTAAATGTTGCACATTTCAGCACCTAAGTTAGGATATTTCAGTCTTTGCATCTATCTTAATTTCATGTTTTAGTCCTAATTTATGTTTATGTGTATTTCAGGGCAATAAGTTAAAATGAGCTAAAAACGGTTCATTAAAGCCTTTTTGGAGTCAAGCAAAGATATTTAGAAAAAGTTCAGAAAATGACAAAAAGAGGTTATAGCCCATTGCTCGTATAGTGTGTTTATTCTTCGAAAGCGGTCAATCTCGGGCCTTTGATGATGTTCCCAAAGATGAAGAAGCAAACTAATTAGCCCGGGGCCAAAATGGAGCTAAATAAGGCTTAAAGGAAATTTCCAACTCCGGGGGGATCGATCCCCCAGGAATTGGCAACATTACAGGATTTTCTTATTTTTTGGCTTATTTTTGTAACTTATGGTCTTTAATTTATGGGCTTTAATAGGGTTATTACTTAAGGCCCAGTGAGCCATTAGTTTAGGGTTAGTTATTATTTTATTTCGTAGAGTTTTATTATTAGATTATTAAGTTTTATTTTTTTACTTTATTTTTTTCTGTACCGTGTTTTTACGTTCTCTCTGGGAAAAGGAGAAAACGAGGGTTTCAAGAAGATTTTACAGACGCTCTGTCTACAATTGAAGGAAGAAGAAGAAGGAGCCAAAAGATGGAGATGGAGCTTGTTGACACAATGATCATCTTCTCCATGAGCTAGTTCTTCACTTAGGGCTTGGATGAGCCCTAAGTTCATGTAACCTAAACCTTTGTTTTTCTTTTCTTGGGGAATTATTAAGTTGTAATTAAATATTTGGCCTTGCGATTTCTTTATATATACATGCTTGATTTGACAAATTAGGGCTTGTATTGATAAATTCTTCCATTGAAATCTCTAGTTGACTGTATGCCTATGTATGATTAATTAGGGATTTTACTCTTCATTAGTTGATTGAAAATTAATTCTTCCATTGATTCTATATGAAAATTGCGTGTCTATGTGTGATTGATTTAGAATTATACTCTACACTAGATACTTCTTTTAGTTGTGTTTAGTGATGGCCATAGCATGATACTTAGTTTATACAATTACCAATTAATTTGATGGATAAAGGCTTAATCTTGATGGATTGTTCTACAAATTAGCTTATTGTCATTAGTTAATTGTAGTAAAGTAGGCAATTAGGCAATTTATGCTTGATTATGTTAATCCATACTTCTAATTATAATTAGTATTATCCTCTTGATTGATGTATGCTCTTATCGGATACATTTGTGAATGTGTATGGTGGGTTATGACGTAGTCTTGAATGGGTTCTACACTTTAGTTTAATTGTCATTAGGTAGACAATTCATTCTTGATGTTGATAATCTATGCTTACAATTTTGATTTGTGATGATAATGTGACCACATCTATAATTACACTAATGAATTCCCATTAATTGAAAACATATGGTTAATTGCATGGGCTTAGTGGTGAATCCTAACCCTAAGACTCTCTTCATATCTCTTTAATTCTTAGTTTAATTTAATTTAATTTACTTGCATTGTCATTTCTATTTTCATGCTTTCGATTTAACTCTAGTTTAATCACTTCACCAAAAATCTTTTTTTCTCTCTATCTCTCTCTCTCTTGTGCAATCTCATTAGCACTGAAATCAAGTTTAATCCCAACACGTGTTCAATCTCTTGGGTTTGATCCCTTCTTACTTCATACTACATAGTATAAGTGTCTAGCGATTTATAAATTATAAAATATGACGCCCACTTCACATTAATTCTAAACCTAAAGTGTTGTGCATTATTTTATGCACACACTCGAGTCGCATTATAATTTTGGCGCCGTTGCCGGGGATTGACGGTTTTGTTGGAATTGAATTAGGCATTAGGGCTAATTTGATTGTTTTCTTTAAATTAGTATTTTCTTACTAATCCCTTTTGTTCAATTAGGTACTTGAAAAGAATAGGAGCACACATTGGATCTTGGCACCATTGTGACGTTGTTGCTACGGACTTTTGTGAACTTCCTTGAATTTCTTTTACTATAATTGTTCAATTCTCTACATGCTTGCGAGATAGCCCTTGTCGAGGCTATCACATTGTTTAAATTCTTGTCCAAGCATAAACCCAAAAGGAGGCTATTACTTTCTTGATAGAAAGCATCGGCCCGTGTGGAGGCAATTTAATTTTGTGTATTGATATAACATGGGAGTATGGGAACATCGTATGTGGAGGTGGTGAATTATTATTGATTGTTGTTGTGGTTTGTTGTTTCTAAGAGAGTATCACCCTCTTAATGGACATCCAACTCAAGGTGTGCATCCACCCTTAAGAATTCCACATCCTAATGTGTTTCCACAACCCAATCAAATACAACAACCTCCAATAATACCAATTCATCCTCAAGATCATGTAGTGTATGCCCCAAATCCTCAATTATCTCTTCGGGATCACTACACTCCCAATGGATACAATGCATCAACATGCATCCAGTTACCAAACTTCCGGGCACAATAATATGAAATCAAGCCCGCAACCATCCAAATGTGCCCCATTTTCTATGGGGTGAATAATGAAAAACCACATAAACATTTGGATGAGTTTTTGGAAATTTGTTCAACTGTGAAAATCATGGACCTTCCGGAAGAAGTCTTGAAAATGAAGCTTTTCCCTTTCACTCTTCGGGAAAAGGCTAAATATTGGTTCAACAACTTAAGGGCAAATTCAATCACATCTTGGGCTCAACTACAATATGAATTCCTAAAAAATTTTTACCCCGCAAGTAGAACCGATGTTATGAGAGCTTCTATCCGTGAATTCTCCCAAAATGAGGGAGAACCTTTACATGAAGCATGGGAGCGTTTGAACGATTTGCTACGAAAGTGTCCACATCACGACATTCCAAAGTGGCAGTTAGTTCGTTGCTTCTATGAAAGCTTATCCGATACCCAAAAAGGTATGGTTGACGCTTCATGTGGAGGAGCCTATTTGGACAAAAATGAAGATGATGTGTGGCATCTTTTTGATCGCATGAGCGAAAATTCAATGCACCGTTCTTCGTCATCCCGATTTGGCCAAAATTTGAATGAAGGAGGGAAGAAAACATTTAGTCTTTCTTAAGTGGAGAGTTCCATGGAAATTACCGCCGAAGTCAAAAATCTTACTCAAAAGTTTGATAGTTGTCTAGAAGGAGGATTTTAATTTCTGCTACAGCTGGCAAAATCAAGTTGCTACCTAATCAAGCCCTTCAAAAAAAAAAAAAAACTCTTGAAAAAAAAAAATTTGTGAAAAAATAAGAAAAAAAAAAGTCGTGAAAAAAAAAAAACGAAGAAGAAGAAAAAAATCGTGGCAAAAAAAAAGAAAGGAAAAAAAAAGTCTTGAAAAAAAAAAGGGAAAAGGAAAAAGAAAAAAAGGAAAGAAAAAAAAAAAAAAGAAGGAAAGAATAGCTTGAAAAAAAAAGAAAGGGAAAAGCTTGAAAAAAATGAAATAAATTAATAAATTAATAATAATTTTTTTTTTTTACTGTATCTGCCCAATTGATTCCGTGGATCTGGATGTGTTTTATAGTGATATATGTGGTTCTGTGCATATGAGAGTATAAGTGATGATGTAAAGTGGAAATATTGTGAATCAGTGATGTTGCAAGCTATGTGAGGAAAAAGATGAAATAGGTTTTGTGAATATGTAATGTTATAAACCATGTGAGGGAAAAGATGAAAGTTGTCATTGGATGATTATGTGATTTAGTATTATTAAAAAAAAGAAAAAGAAAAGAGACCATCAGGTTTTGAACTTAACTAGTGGCGAAAAGTTGTGTGAAAAAAGTGATTGAGGATGAAGACAAAATATTTAAAAGTATGCTTAATGTGTATGTGTGTGTGTGTGTGTGTGTGTGTGTGTGTGTGTGTTATAGACATATGCAGGTATAAAGAAAGAAAGAGATTTTGTTTTTAGCATACCTTCATGGAACAGAGAAGAATTATTTAGAAAGATGCTGAGCAAGGCTGACAATTTGGTACGCTAAGTTGGTCGACGTGACTCAATGCCTCAAGTATCTTTGGGTCTAATAGTGACTTTCAAAGCTTTCAAGTGATACTAATGAACCCATGGCCTGTGATCATATTTATAGAGAAAAAAAATAATCCTTTCTATAATAGGATCTTTGGACTTGTTATTCAAATTGGAAAGTGAAGAATTACAGTTCAATGTCGAATAGAAAAGTAAAAAAAGGAAAGTAAAATTCCAATCCAAAGTTGGATACTTCAAGTCCCATTTGAAAAAAGAAACAAGTCCTGTCAAACTTGGGACTCGAAGTGGGGGCAATTTGTAGACACTAAAATTGTAGTGGGCTTTGATTTTGACAAATGGACCCATTAAATATGGGTCTAATATTTAGTCCACTTAAATTATTTAATTAGCCTGGCCCAGAAGGTTAAACAAAAAGAATAATTATTCCTAATAAAATATATTTGGAATAATTATTTATAAGAATAATTATCATAATATAACCGGTCCGGCCTATTATTTTATCCTTATCAGGAGATGATACGTGTTATCATCCTATTAATCCAAGAAGCCTATAAATAGAGGCTTGGAAGAAGAAGAAAGGGGGACAGAAATTGAGAATTCAGAAATCTAGAATTCTAGAGAGAAATATAGAAACACTCATCCCTAACATCCAAACCCAAAAGCGAAGAACATTAAGCACATCCAAAGACGTGCCGTTCTTCACCAAATTCGACGGTGATCAACAACAAGCACATCCAACGATGTGCTGTTCTTCATCAAATTCCACGGTGATTCAAGAACAAGCTCGTGCAGCCCTTGGATCCAATCAATAACAAAAAGGAGATTGAATCAGAGGACCATTCTTTTTGTAAAGAATATTACAAAGGATTGTACTCAAATTTTCCAAATTAATAAATTACATTTGCTCCAATTTTGTTTCTTATTTGCAGAAAGACAAAATTTGTGTGTACAATGGTATCATTATTATGTAAATATATTGAAATTGGCATAATAAATATAATTATGCATATTGCCTCATGTTTAATATTGATGCATATTTGTATATTAGGCAGATTCATTTGGGAATTAAATTGAATCATTTTAAAATCCTAAGCACAACTGTTAATGAAATTAGATTGGGTGTTTAGTCACCAAAGTGACACACTCATGATAATTTCAATAGTATGCTAGTGGTAAAATTATGTTTTTGCTAAAGTTAAAGAATTGGAATTGCGTTTAGTTGAGACGAGCAATAATCCAACCCAAAGGTGGATTATTGAGATTTGTCCAATTAAACGAATTGAGATAATTAATTTAGCATATATAATAGATAATATACTATTCCTGAAGGAATTTATATTTAATATTGTATTATCTATGATTAATTAGTCTCAATAGTGAAATTTGTTTCACTAGTGGGAGACTAACATTTAACAATATTGATCCAAAGAAAATATTGTTGAATGTGATGTTGAGCCCATTCGGAGTCAATTATTTGGAGGCATTACTTATTGATTCTGGAAAGTTTGATTGTTTTCCCATCAATTAAACTATTTTATTATGGCCTTAATTATTTTGATTTCATGTGAATTATATTTTATGTTTTAGCAGTTAGTTCATTACCTTATGTGAAGGCCCTGACTAGGTCTAATCTCTCGGACTGGAAAGATGAAATAATTTTTAATTTGGGACTTGGGGATTTAGACTTAGCCATTAGATCAGATGAACCACCTAAGCCTATAGACACTAGTGGTGCAGAGGTGAAAAAGGAATGGGATAAATGGGACAGGTCTAATAGACTTAGTCTAATGTATATTAAGAATAATATTTCTAAATATATTAGGGGTGCCATTCCTTATAAACCATTGGCTAAGGATTACCTTAAGGCTCTAGAAAAACATTTTACTATTTCGACTAAGTCACTGGCTATCACTCTTATGACCCACTTAGTAATCGCAAAATATGATGGTCTTAGTGGTGTGCGTGAGCATATCATGAAAATGACTGATATTGCATGTTGACGAGGGCCGTTCCAATACGCCAAACTAAATGTAGTGAATGTGTGGTTTAAGAAAAGCCTTTTATGTCAAATTTAAGTTTATAAAAACCACTACCAACACCACTACTAACGTAGCAAGAGTGAGTAGGGATCGTCCCAAGGGATTATACGTGTTGGAATTTCAACTTCGACTCTAGCGTACCAAATGATTGCAAAAGAGAATTGGGTTGGTTGATTACTTCTACAAAAGAATTAATTAAAATGCAATAAGATAAAGAGTAAGTAAGAAGGAAAGGTCTTGGGGTGTAGAGATCACCACCAAACAATACTATTCCAAACCATAATCAAGTGACTAATGAGGGAAATGAATGTGTTGCAACAATGTTGTGTGTGTAAAAGACATTCAATTGGTAAGGGTGACTCAACAAGTGCAAATTGTCTCAATCAACATGTGTGAGGCCACAATACATCTATTGGTAGAGGAATATATTGTCTAGACATCATGTGAAGAGAACAAAATATCAAATCAAGTCATTAAACCTTTCATTAAGCTCATAGTCCAAGCAATCCATAAGGATGACTTAGTTAAACATGCATTATCTAAACATCATGTGAGAGGTATAAAATATCTATTGGGAGAGGAATAAATTGTCTAAACACATGTGAAAGACACAACATATCATAACTAGTCATTAATCATTCATTAAGCTCACAATCCACATACAACACAATATTAGAGGAATATGCCATTTGGACTCACAAGCATGGAACATCAAACATCAAGAGTAGATTGTCCTCCCATCTAACATTACATTACCACTACACTAAATCTACACTACTAGCATGAAAATAAAGCTATCTAGACTAGGGGAGAGGCACAAACCATCAAGAATAGGCATAAACCATCAAATGAACCAAAATAGCATTCATTAAGCATATCATCTTGATAATCTTTAGATCTATAGCATCAATACACATAGACATGCATCAAAAACACTAAATCTAGAGATAAGCACATGAATATCCTACTCTAGCATACATAGACATATGGATAGAATAGAATAGTCAATTGGAAGCATTAAACCATACAAACCATGAAATAATCAAGGTTTATATATACATAAATATCAAGATGTATCATACAACACTAATCCCTCAATAATACACAAGATTAGAGTATAGAAAGCATGCTTGGGGCTAACTCTAGCCCCAAGAGGATGTCTAGCCACTCATGGTAATGATGATCCAACCCTCAAGGGCTAACTCCATGGCTGCTCCTTGTTGGTGAAGATCTCCTCCAATGGTGCTCTAGCTTCCCTCCTTCCTCCTCTCCAAGAAGAGCCTCCAAGATGATTTTCAATGTGTGACAAGAGACTCTAGACACCTCTCCAAAAAGTGTATCATATTCCTTATATAGGTAGGTCAAATGCACCATATGATGAGCTGTGGTCGTGCAAAGCATATTCTCCAATGATTGGATGAAGGACGGAATAAATGAGCTGTACTTTAACTTTTTCTCGCTGGAGGAAGTTCGATCGATCAAACCTTAACTTGGATCGATCGAAGATGGGTACGATCGATCGAACTGCATCTTGGATCGATCGAAGTGGTCTGACTCCTCCGGATAAGGACAAGGCTGAGATATTTCGAAGATATTTATGGGGAAAAGGACAAAAGTGGTTGGTAGGCGTACAGCTGTGGATCAGATCAATCATTTGAATAGGACAAAATAGGGTTCGATCGATCGAAGGTGATGTTGGATCGATCGAACTTGGAATTTCAGCAAAGGCCAAGGTTGGATCTATCGAGAAGTACTGTGATCGATCATAGATGTTCGATCGATCGAACTCTAAGTTGGATCGATCGAACTTTTCAGCTGCACAACTTTGATTC